GAGCGCGATCCTGGGGAGGGCGTGTGTCGTGATAAGTGGTGAGGATGGAACGATGATGGTGGTGGGTTTGCGGGTGGGAGTTGTGGGGAGGAAGGAGATAGGGGGTCGTACCGCATCGTGCTGTTTATTGCGGGCAGGGTGGAGTTGAATGATGGGTGTTGTTGGTATGTTTCGTGGAGGCTGCTTGGTTGACTACCCACCCCATTGGCGGTGGTGGTTGTGGAGGATGAGGAAAAGTGTGTGGGGAATGCTGATGAAGCTGTGGATGATGCGCTGGACGCGGAGACGTCGAATATGTTGTGTGTGTGGTATGCGGAGGTGGGGTTTTCGTAAGCCGTTGGGTCCTCGTATTGTTGTTGGTGCTGGTGCTGTTGCGGGTGGTGATGAGTGTGATGATGAGCGTGATGATGATGGTGGTGGCCGTTAGGCGACGATCGATCACCACCTGGGCCACCCAACAATGAGGCCATCGACAACTCGTCGTTGAACTCCACATTCGCAGCAGCCACAGACGTGGGGAACTTTCGAAAAGGATTGGGAAGGTCGAACCCATGATGTTGTTGATGCATCGTCGTCGAACCCCCCGAGGCCGTCATCGCGTGGTGGGGTTTTCATACGCCGTTGCGTTTTCATACTGCTGCTGGTGGTGGTGGTGGTGAGTGTGATGGGGGTCATTAGGCGTTGATCGATCACCGGGTCCACCAAGAGTGTAACTGTGAGCAACTCGTTGTTAAACTCCACATTCGAAGCAGCAACCACATTCACGGACGAAGGGAACTTGCAAAGGGATCGGGAAGGTCGAATGCATGATGTTGTTGATGTTGATGGGCACTCATCGTCGTCGTCGTTCCACCCCCCGAGGTCATCGTTGTGCTGAACAGATCGCCAAATGGACTGCTATTGCCTGCAGTGGTGGTGGTAGAGCTGCCGGGCGTAGAACGACGCGATTATGTAAGTGCTTGATGAACGAGACATTGTCAAGTAAGTAGCCCCCATTTCAGGATCGAGGCAAGGAAAACAACTTTGCATTATGATGTATAGTTCGAAGAAACTTCGCAAAAGGGTGAAGGCATCAAAACTATGTCCGAACTCCACTCCGTCGTTTATGAATTCCTCCTGCATGCGTGAATAACGTGCAATTTCTACTTCGTGTTGGTTGCGTATTGCCAATACCGAGGTCGGTGCCAGTGGTGGGCTCAAAACCACGATGTATGCGGCATTGGCTTTGAATGAATAATGGAGCCATGCCACTTGTACTCTGTCGCGTGCGTCACCTCCCGAACCTTGGCAAGTCAGAGGCTTTCATCACAACTCCATCCCACAGCTGAGACCTGCCATAGCACCCAACCTACACCCGTTCGTCCCTTCTGCTCTTAATTCCCATTCCTTTCCGCAGCCTTTGAAGCAGGGTTAACGATCAAGCGCCAAGTCATTCAACGTGGTCCTCCCCATCTCTCAGAGCTTGGGGAATGAACATAGAAATTCCAACTAACGACGATGTAGGGGCCTTTTTGGAAAGACGGCGACTCATTGAGAAGCTTGGGGGAAACCTCGAATCTCGGGGAAGCCCACAAAGCGGAAAAAGGGGGACACAAGCGGGCTTCCAGCTTCATTCCGCCCCTGCACATCGCCTCTCACTTTGTTTGTCTCTCCCTGTCGAAGAAGGTTGTTCCGAACCTGGTCCACGATACCCTCTCGTGGACGATGGGGACCTCGACTCACCCATTGTCCACTCCACCTTGAATCTCCCCGGAGGCTCCAAACACCGAAAGGAAGCCGTGTATCCGTGGGGTGTAAGTGGCCTTCCCAACGATCGACATCAGTCGGGAGGAAGGTGAGAATGGTGAAGAATTGCTTGGTTTCCGTACCCGAGGGAGGCAGGTGGTGGGAGACTGGGAGGCGTAGACAAGTTGCCTGTGCAGAGAAGGGTGGAATTTGAGGGAACTGCAAAATCGACTTTCATTGGCGGAGTGAGCGAATGTGGGTGTGCGAGAGAATACGTTGAGAATCAATAGAGACAGCTACGTAAACAATCGTTAGCTACCGCCGCCATAAAAAAGAATATAAACTCACTTGACGTTCTCCGTCAAGCAAACCCAAATTGACCTCCCACCATGCGATTCAAAACAAGCACTGGAACGCAATGCACTGAGCCGCCGCGCACCTCCGTCCTAGTTTGCAGCGATAACAACGGATGTTGAGACAAGGGCGAACTCGGTGCCTTCTGACCCGGACACTAACTTCGAGTGATGGCGACACTGGAAGGGCTGTTAAGGGAGACATGTAGATCGCATACGGTTTTCTGGTGTTGGGTGCTGAGGTTACCCAGCTAAATCTGCCATAAAGGCTACCCAAAAGTTTGTCAGCCGAGGATGCTATGTCTAGTGAGTACACCCCGCACCTTCATTTCCTGGAATTCTTCGCTGCTTGACGAACTTAGATGGGGAAAATGCGGAGTCCGACTGTAAAGCACCGCCCATCACAATATAAGTAGGCACCTTCAATAAGATCATATGACTCCAAAGTTCGGGGTAGGAGAGTATGACTTTTCGCCAGAGCCTACAGACGTGCGAGGAGATGACCGATGTTTTAAGCGATTGGCGAGATATGCGGTTGACGTTGAAAATGAATATGTGACTGGTGGCTACCACTTTTATGATTAATCTATGACAACTGTCCAAGAGCCATTGTGTATAATGCCACAGGTTTTATGAAAGGCATCTCATTAGGATTGCCCATCTATTTCATTCAATTTATCACTGGAATCTTTCATAAGTTATAGACAAGGATAATGAGATATCATGGGGATATTTCATTAGGCTCTTTGGCCCTTTCATTATCATTTCTGAGACTTTTCATTAGGATATTTCATTAGGCTCCTGCGCTTTTTCATTACCATTTCATAGAATTTTTATTAGGATATTTCATTAGGCTACTGCGCTTTTTCATTACCATTTCAAAAGAATTTTCATTAGGATATTTCATTAGGCTCCTGCGCTTTTTCATTACCATTTCAAAAGAATTTTCATTAGGATATTTCATTAGGCTCCTGCGCTTTTTCATTATCATTTCTTAGAATTCTCATTAGGATATTTCATTAGGCTCCTGCGCTTTTTCATTATCATTTCTTAGAATTTTCATTAGGATATTTCATTAGGCTCCTGCGCTTTTTCATTACCATTTCTTAGAATTTTCATTAGGATATTTCATTAGGCTCCTGCGCTTTTTCATTACCATTTCTTAGAATTTTCATTAGGATATTTCATTAGGCTCCTGCGCTTTTTCATTATCATTTCTTAGATTTTCATT